CTGGCCCGCGTTCCACCGAGGCATCTTCCGTCCTCCTGCCCGCTATCCCTGGCTGTTACGGCTTCGGGCTGCGCACAGACAGCCCCCACACGTAGCCCCAGCTGGCCTCCACAGCGCCCCAGGGGCGCTCCGCGCCTCCCAGCTGACGCCTCCACAGCGCCTCCCAGCTGGCCTCCACAGCGCCTCCCAGCTGACGCCGCCTCCGGCGGCGCCCCAGGGGCGCTCCGCGCCCCAGAGATGTGATGAGACCACCCTGGGCTACGGGGGGGGCTTGTTGAGGCGAGTCGGGACCACCTGGAGGGGGCTGCCCGTGCACCGCCCGCGAGCCTTACCAAGGGGACGCATCTGTTCTTTGCTTCTGATTGGCCTGCTTCAACTGCACCTTGCGGGGCAGTGGGCGAAACTCCGAGGGGAGAGGACGGAAGGAGGCCGGAAAGGATGAGAAGAATAGGGAAAAGGATGCGGCCACAGTTACGTCGGACCTGTCCCCCTACAGGCGGATCTTTTGGGAAAAACTGCAAGACAAACGAATACCCACATTTTTTGTTAATCAAAATAAGGAAACGTCCCCTGATTATTTTTGACTATTTTGGAATTTTCCTCCTGTAGAGGGACAAGCCCGACTTAAGGCTTGAGGATGTCTGTGCGCAAGCCGAGGCCTCACCAGTGCTTCCTCCTGCCCCACCCCCCCTCAATGGCGCGTGCACTTCAATATCCCGCACGCTACTCGCGGCCAGCTGGCCACGGCCCCTGTGACTTCAGGAACGCAGCAGCGAGCGAGCGAGCGCGGGAGGGAGAAACGGAAGGGAGGGGGAAGGTCAAGAGGCAACTGCTGGGATGTCTTCGCAAGAACGACTCAGGGCGAATAAGCCCGACTGAGGGGCCACTAGGCTTGAATGTCCCAGATGAAACCCAGGACTCGGACGGGCTAAGCGGGATTGTACTGGATTGAGCGGGACTGTGCCCGATCCGGATGGTCCTCGACCATGGATATACAAGCGCCGATGCTGAAACTAGTCTCCCAGGAGTTGCATCCGAACTGAGGGAGGGGAAAGAGGAGGGAAGGGAGGCGGGAAGGACAACGCCCCTCTCAAGCCCTCAGTGCCCCTCCCTCCATCCGTCCCTCGTTCCCCCCCGCTCCTTCCCTCCGGACCCCCTCTCTCCCTTCCTCCGTGCCTCCATTCCAAGAAGCCCTCCGTGCTTCCATTCCAATAGCTCCCAAGAGAGCCCCAAGAAGGGTTCCAGAGCCTCAGCGTCGTCGCCGCCGCCGCCGCTGCCGTCGTCGTCGTCGTCGTCGTCGTCGTCGTCGTCGTCGTCGTCGTCCCCTTTCAGTGTCAGGGTCGGCGGCGCCGGCCGTAAGGCATTCCGAAGGACTCAGACCCTGTCGCACCAACACACGTGTCCCTAGGCCGGGCTGGGCGTTTCGCTTGGGACGTCCTTTCAATGTACGAAATGTAAACCTGAAACAAATGATACGGATGGAGGGCGAGTCGTTTTCAAAGTGCAACTCTCGCCTTCGCGCCTCGAACGTTCGCTGTAGAAGCTTCAAGCAATCACATGGATGCAGGGCCAGCCTTTTTCAAAATTAGGCTCGTGCGCTGGCGGCGCGCGCCTCCTTTGCACAGACAGCCAAACACTTACACGGATCAAAGGCCAGTCGTTCCAGAATGTGGTTATATCGCCTTAGCGCCGCGCGCACTCGTTTCATAAGCTTCCAGACAGCTGCACGGATGGATAGCCCGTCGCGTTCGGAAAACGTCTCTCGCTTCAGTGCCGCGCGCATTCTGTTTTCTTCAGACAAGGGTGGAGGCCGGTTCGTTTTCTCCATGCAGTCAACGCGTAATATAAGGATGCACGATACGAGAAACAGAGAACACGTTTCGTAAGCCCCCCCACAAAAAAAACTTTGAGCGACCCTGGAGAAACGCCCCCCCCCCCCTGGACACCGGCCTGCTTAAACGGGCCCCCCGCCCTTCCTAGGAAGGAGGCGGGGTTGAACTGGCCCCCCCTCCCACTGACCTGCAAGAGGGGGGGAGCTCGAACTGGGGAGCGGGGAAGCCCTGTCCAGGAGTGGAGGGGTTCGAACCGCCTCCCCCCCGAATGGGAAGGGGGGTTCGAACAGGAGGAGGGCCCCCTCTGTCTACAGAAGGCGGCCCCCCAACGAATCGCAGGGGGAGGTTCAAAACGCCCCCCCCCCTCCCCCCAAATATCCGACGGACGACGACGAGCGCCAGCGCCGGCGCCGTCGGGCAAGGACGACGACGACGACGAACACGGCGGCGGCGACGACGACGACGACGAAGAAGACGACGGTGATGGTGACGGCGACGGCGACGACGACGTCGCCGCCGCCGCCGACGACGACGACGACGGTGACGGTGACGGTGAAGACGACGGCGACGGCGACGGCGGCGACGACGGGTACTCGCTTGCCCGCTGCGCCGCTCGCTCGCTAGCTGGAGCAAGCATGCGAGCGAGCGAGTACAGGAAGGAACGAGTCGGTCCGCTCGCACGCTTGCTCCAGCACGCGAGCGAGACGAGGCTGGCGGGTCGGGTCGGGCGGGCGGAACATCAACTTAATGCACGGTGATCGCTTGCTCCCTAGCTAGCTGGAGCAAGCATGCGAGCGAGTTAGCTGGGCGGGGCGGCCCAGGAGAGCGGGACATTAAATGAATGGTGCTCGCTTGTTCGCTCGCTGAAGCAAGTGAGGGTCAGTTCGGGCGGACGGGACATCTAATGCATGGCGCTCGCTTGATCGCCCGCTCGAGCAAGCGAGCAAACGAGTTGGGCGGCCTGGGTCGGGCGGCCGAAACATTGAATGCATGGTGCTCGCGTGGTCGTTCGGTCGCTCGGTCGCTCTGGCAAGCGAGCGAGCGGGGGGGGGGCGGGTCGGGTCCAGCGGGCGGGATAGTAAATGCATGGTGCTCGCGTGCTCGCTCGCTGGCTCGAGCAAGCGAGCGAGCGGGCGACGGAAACGATTTTTCGTGATCGTCGGCGTCATCGTCGTCTTCGTCGTCGTCGTCGCCGCCGCCGCCGTTTTCCTCGTCTTCGTCGTCGTCGTCGGCGTCGTCGTCGCCTTCACCGTCGTCGTCGTCGTCGGCGTCGGCGCCGTCGTCGTCGGCGTCGTCGCCGTCGCCGTCGCCTTCACCGTCGTCGTCGTCGTCGTCGTCGTCGTCGTCGTCGACCTCGCCACCGTCACATTCGCCGTCGTCGTCGTCGTCGTCGTCGTCGTCGTCGTCGTCGTCGTCTTCATCGTCGGCGGCGGCGGCGGCGTCGTCGTCGCTACCCGACAGTGCTGGCGCTGGCGCCTGCGCTCGCCATCGTCGCGTTGCAGGGGGGGGGTTTCCCAACGGTTCGGCCCCCCCCCCCCCTGCAATTAGTTCAGGGGGGAGGGCGGGGGCGGTTCGACCCCCCCTTAGAGATGGCCCCCCACCCCTCTCGGTTCGACCCCCCCCCGCTATAATTGAGGGCCCCCCCCCGGGTTCGAACCCCCCCTCTTGCAACTCGGGGGGGGGGGGGGGGGGGCGTCGACCCGGTTGGCACGCGAGAGCCCCAACGGTCGGGCCTTGTCGAGCGGGCCGTGCCCTGACTGGCGGGTCGGCTCGGGCGGGCGGGACCTTCAAATCCCCCAGCCCTCTGGGCGTCGGTGGTTTAGAGCGTTTCCTCTTCCACCCCTCCTTCTTCCCCTTCGGGGAGGGGTTTACCCCTCCCCCTACCCCCTCACCGCTGACCTGGACAGGGGGGGCCGCGGGTAGTTAGAGCGTCCAAGACGGCCCATCACGGCTCCAAGAGGGCCTCAGGGAGCTCAAAATGACCTCCAAGATGGCTCAAGATAGCGCAAGATGCCTCAAGATGGTCCCCATGATGTTCCAAGACGCTCCAATAACTCCCCAAGACGGTTCCAAGTGCCCACAAGAGCATCATTAGGATGCATCCAAGAGGCCAAAATGCTTCAAAACCCTAGGGCAACTCAATGTTTTTGGTGTTCTCACTTTTTCGCTTGCGATGCACATCCGACGCGTCAAGATGGCTCCAAGATGGCTCAAGATAGCTCCAAGAGGGGCCCAAGAGAGCCTCAGGATGGCTCCAAGAGCGGCCACGAGCGCTCCAAGAGCGATCCAAGAGGGGTCCAGGAAGCGATTTTTTGAGCTCCTGGGGGGGGGGCTGTAATTAGGGAACCCCACTTCCCTGGCCGATGTCCTCCAAAATTGCCCCAAGAGCGCCCCAGCAGGGCCTCCAAGGGCGCCCAGACGGGTCCAAGAGAAGCCCAAGCCTCCCAAAACAGCTTCCCAAGAGACTCCCAAGAAACCTCGAGAGTCTCCCTGAGGCCATTGGAAAGCTCCCCAGACGTCTCAAGAGACTTCCACGACTACTCCGAAAAGAGATCCTACAAGGCTCTTATCTTCGTCATGTGTCTTGCTCATCCTTATCTTCCTCCTCCTCCGCCTCCGCCTCCTCCTCCTCCTCCTCCTCCTCGTCCGCCTTCTCATCCTCTTCCTTTTCCTCCTCCTCATCACCATCATCCTCTCCATCGTCATCGTCATCATCATCACCATCATCATCATCATCATCATCATCCGTGTCTGCCTACTATGATACTCGTGCCCCCCTTCTCTTTATCCGCCAGATCACATGATTGTCCCGAGAAACATGTGATTCTTCCTGACCGCTCCCTTATTCGAAGCCTCAATTGCCATCTATACTGTCCGAAGCAAGCTACAAAAAGCGTCGGATGCGACTGCTGTTGCAGGAGACTGCGGCAAGGCCGCCAATTATCCTCCGCCCTCTCCTCCTGTTCCTCCTCCTCCTCCTCCTCCTTCTCCTCGTCCGCCTTCTCATCCTCTTCCTTCTCCTCTCCTCCTCATCATCATCATCCTCTCAATCATCATCATCCGTGTATGCCTACTATGATATTCCTTCTCCCCTTCCCTTTATCAGCCTGATCACATGATTGTTCCGAGAAACATGCTATTTTCCCTGAGCGCTCCCTAACTCGACGC